TCACTTCACTGGGTATTTGTGAAAATTTACAACCATTTTAACTTTTTAAAATGCCTTTGGTTTTTGTGTATAGTTTTTAACTGTATATGTAGATGGTCATATTTTTAGTGGTGCAGCAAAATTAAAATTCTGGTGCAGAAACTAAAAATTCAGGATGCACTTTACCAATACCCGAAATGGACAGTTTTTAACTTTTTTTTAATTTAATTAATGTGGCTGGCAATTTGCATGGTAGTCACTAGGGGGCGTTTTTGCATTGAAGTCAATTGGGATTCAATTGTGCATGAAAGTTTATGAAACACGATTTTGCATTAAAGCAGAGCTCCACCCAAAAGGGGAAGTTCCGCTTTAAGGACTGCTCCCCCGCTCCCCATTGAGAATTGGCACCTTTGGGGAGCGGGTACCCATATTTGACAGGTACCCGCTCCCACTTCCGGTCCGATCGCCTGGGCGATCAGAAACGGATGGGGTCCTCCCTCCCTGTAGTCTTTTGGGACATGTGACATGTCCCAGAAGACTACAGGACCAATCATGAAGCGCAGCGCTACTCGCGCATGCACAGTGGGTACCCGGCTGTGAAGCCGCAAGTTATCACAGCCGGGTGCCCACACTGAAGATGCTGGCCTCCTGGAATACAGGACAGCCGGTGAAAGGGGCTGCCGGGGACACACCGTGGGACTGAGGGACAGGTAAGTGGCTGTTTTTAAAAAATCAGCAGCTACAGATTTTGTAGCTGCTGACTTTTATTTTTTGATAGGTCGAGTGAAACTCCGCTTTAAAGTCACTAGGGGGCGTTTTTGCATTAAAGTCAATGGAGACATGACTTTGCATGAAAGACTATGAGACTTGACTTTGCATGAAAGTCTATGAGATGCGACTTTGCATGAAAATCTATGAGACGCAATTTAGCATTGAAGTCACTAGGAGGTGTTTTTGCATAAAAGTGTATGAGACGCGATTTTGCATTGAAGTCACTAGGGGGCATTTTTGCATTGACGTCAATGGGGACTTGACTTTGTATGAAAGTCTATGAGATGCGACTTTGTATGTTTCGGCACAATTGTCGGCACCTTTTTTTCTATTGGCAAAATGCTGATAACACTATTTTCAGCTGATTTGTTTCAGCCACTGATATATTGGTGCATCCCTACATATTTTGTTTATTACATATGCAGAAGCTTCTTCCTGAATTGCTATGCTAAATAGTGTTTGTGCCTTACTCCTCACAACACATATCCACCTTGATCTACAAGCAGACCAGGGATTGCCTGAATACCCAACCAGCAACTGAATCTAAAAGGATGCACTAGACCAGCAATATGGGCAAACTACGGCCCGTGGGCCGTATATGGCCCGGCGGACCTTTTAATCCGGCCCGCGGAGCGTGGCAAACATTGGCTGTCAGGATGTAGGCGGGGCAGCGTGACGAACTCCTCTTCTCTCACAGTCCGCCCTGAAGACCGGAACGGCGCGGGAACACGGCGAGAGGAACTCGCGGAGCAAAGGTAAGTGAATTCACACAATATGGGGAATGAATTACTATAGGGGGGATGAATTACTATATGGGGGATGAATTACTATATGGGGGATGAATTACTATATGGGGGGTGAATTACTATGGGGGATGAATTACTATAGGGGGGGATGAATTACTATATGGGGGATGAATTACTATGGGGGATGAATTACTATATGGGGGATGAATTACTATATGGGGGATGAATTACTATGGGGGATGAATTACTATAGGGGGGATGAATTACTATATGGGGGATGAATTACTATGGGGATGAATTACTATGGGGGATGAATTACTATGGGGGATGAATTACTATATGGGGGATTAATTACTATAGGGGGGATGAATTACTATATGGGGGATGAATTACTATGGGGGATGAATTACTATGGGGGATGAATTACTATATGGGGGATGAATTACTATGGGGGATGAATTACTATGGGGGATGAAATACTATATGGGGGATGAATTACTATATGGGGGATGAATTACTATGGGGGATGAATTACTATGGGGGATGAATTACTTTATATGGGGGATGAATTACTATGGGGGATGAATTACTATATGGGGGATTAATTACTATGCTTACTATGGGGGGAATATTACTATACTTACTATGGATGGCATGGTAGTGGCTGGGCCGGCCAGCAGCTAGTCCGGCCCCGGGTCCAATATATGAACCCATTGCGGCCCTCAAGTCAAAAAGTTTGCCCACCCCTGCACTAGACCAAATGTAATTTTCTACCCATTTTAAATTGAGCTGAAATGGTGCTGACAGGTCCACCCATGGGTTAAAGTGATTCTAAAGGTTTATTTTTTTTAAAGAAACAAATAACAAATATGTCTATACTTCCCTACTGTGTGTAGTATGTGCTGTGTGAGGACACAGGGTTGGAGATTCCATCCCCCCCAAGACTCTTAGGAATCTCCAAAGTACAAAGCCTCACCTGGCAATACCCCAGATCCAGAGAAAACTGCACAAGCCGTTTTCTCCACTCCAAATCTATACTCTGCAGCATTGCACTAAGCAGACATGCACACTCTGTGTTTTTTTTTTCCTGGCCATTTTCATAGCAACAGAGCCTCACACTGTCACAAAACCTATGAGAACATATTGACTTTTTAAAGAGAAATTTGCACATTTTATAAGAATTTGAATAATCATGTGGGAGTCATGTATTGCAAGATGATCACACTGTATCCAGGGGCGGACTGACCATTTGGAAACTCGGGCGCTGCCCGAGGGCCTGGGGTCAGTAGGGGGCCCCATGAGATGCCCCTGGTACCTTTTTCATAGGCTTTTTTTGAGTTTGGGCAAGGACACAGGGGCCCCATGATCCCCTATTGCCTGGAGGCCCCATGAGTTTTCAGTCTGCCCCTGCACTGTATATGTGATATTTTGCACAGTGGTTATTATATGCACTTTATAAGGAGAGTTATGTGGGCGTTTGATTATATTGCATATGTGATATTTGTACACACACTTTATTAGGAGGATTGCACATATGTTATGCACTATATAAATTTGCAGCACTGTTTATAGTACAGAAGTATTGCGCGGCACTTTATATGTTATTGTTTTGAATTTTATTCGTTGCGTTGGGCAATGGGAGGCCAGTGGAGGGATTGGCAGAGAGTGATGGCAGATATGGAATGGTTGGTAAGGTGGATGGGTCTGGCAGCAGCATTCATGGTAGACTGAAGAGGGGATAGCCTGCGATGAGGAGGGAGTTACAACAGTCAAGGCGAGAGATAAAACAAGGGTGTGAATAAGTTGCTTAGTGGTTTCAGTGGTTAAAAAACAGGCGTATCTTGGAGATGTTAAGGAGGTGAAGTCTACAAGATTTGGACAGTGATTGTATTTGGGGCTGAAAGGACAGATGGGAGTCTAGGATTACACCTAGTACCCTGTCATGAGAGTTGGGACTGATGGTTGTATTATTCATCTTGATGGAGAAGTCAAGGGAATGGTCATGGACTGGAGGGAATAGTATGAGCTCCGTTTTAGAAAGATTTAGTTTGAGGAAGTTGAGTGACATCCATGTTGATACCTCACTTACTGTAGTAGGTCAGTAATGCACAAGATGACTGAAGGGATGAGGTGAGGAGTAGAAAGATAGATTTGTGTGTCATCAGCATAGAGATGGTACTTGAAGCCATGGGAGTTTATCAAGTGACCAAGGGAGGAGGTGTAGATGGAGAAGAGAAGAGGTCCAAGGAAAGAACCTTGAGGGACCCCTACAGAAAGAGGAAGTGGAGAGGAGGAGACAGAGTTATAGGTAACACTAAAGGAGCGCTGCGATAGGTAGGAGGAGATCCAGGAGAGAGCAGAGTCGCGGAGGCCAAGAGAGTGGAGGTAGTGTGGAGTGGACGAGGTGGGGATGGTCAACAGTATCAAAAGCCGCAGAGGTCAAGTAGTAAGAGTACGGAGTAGTGGCCATTGGTTTTAGCAGTTAGTAAATCATTAGTGAGTTTTAGCAGGGCAGTTTCAGTGGAGTGGAGTGAGCGAAAGCCAGGCTGTAAAGGGTCAAGAAGGTTGTTGTCAGTGAGGTAGGAGCTCAGGAGCTCATTGTAGACTAAGCGTTCTAAGAGTTTAGAGGTAAATGACAGCAGGGAGATGGGTCTTAAGTTGTTCAGGATGGTGGGGTCCAGGGAGGGCTTTTTAAGTATGAGAGTGATCTATGTATACTTTTAGAGGGGATGGGAAGGTGCCAGTAGAGAGGAGAGATTGAAGATGTGAGTGAGGGAGCAAAGAATAGAAGAAGAGGGTAACCGTAGTAGTTTTGAGGAAACAGGATCCAGGGGGCAGGTGGTGAGATGGGCTTCTGAGAAAACTTTAGTGACCTCTTCGTTAGTAGCAATGTCAAAAGCTGCTTGTACACTCACACACTTGCAGTGCCAGCCACCCCAGTGCCCCAGTGTCCCTGATCACTGCCCCACAATATCAACAATAAATAATGCAGCGAGGCCCTTTCACCTGTCCCACTGCGCACAAAGCACCCCCATACACCTTACCAATGTCCTGATCAACGTCATACCAGTGTCCTTATCACTGCCATACCCAATGGTGTATTTAGGTTTTGTGCTGCCCTAGGCAATTGGCTGCTCCCCCCACGGAGAGAACCTGACACCAACCAACACCCCCACACCCACCCAAGAAAGCCTTTCACTACCACCACCCTCCATACACCGGCCACACACCCCCACCCACCGAGAGAAAGACACCCACCTTCACAGCTCCAGACATCCCACGGAATAAGAGTCAGGTTCTGCATACACCGTTAAGCGGCCCACAGCCTCTCTCGGATCCCACCTGGTCCCCATGCCATATGTATCCCTTCTTCTGTCCCTACTTCCAGGGAGCGGTGCTGCCCCCCTGAAAAATGCCACCCTAGGCAAATGCCTTGTAAATATACCCCTGGCCATACCCCATACCAATACTCTTATCACTCCCATATCCCATACCAGAACTCTGATCACCTCCATACACCATACCAGTGCCCAGATCATCTCCATACACCTAACCAGTGCACTGATCACCTCCATACACCATACCAGCATCCTGATCGCCGTCATACCCCATACCAGCACCCTGATTACTGCCATACACCATACCAGCATCCTGATCACCGCCATACCCCATACTAGCATCCTGATCACCGCCATACCTCATACCAGCACCCTGATTACCGCCATACCCCATACCAGCATCCTGATCACCGCCATACCTCATACCAGCATCCTGAGCACCGCCATACCCCCATACCAGCATCCTGAGCACCGCTATACCCCATACCAGCATCCTGATCACCCATATGCCATACCAGCATCCTGATCACCCCATATGCCATACCAGCATCATGATCACTGCCATACCCCCATATCAGCGTCCTGATCACCGCCATACCCCATACCATCACCCTGATCACTACCATACCCCGTACTAGTGTTTTGATCACCGCCATAACCCTATACCAGCATCATGATCACAGCCATAACCCATACCAGCATCCTGATCACCCCCATACTCCATAACAGTGTCCTGGCTACTGCCATACCAGCGTCCTGATCAACGCCATACCCTATACCAGTGTCCTGATCACTGCCAAATATATATCTCATAGTTTGTAGACTCTATAGCTTTCACACAGACTAAATAATATAAACTGTTTTGGGTTATTTTTACTCCAAAAATGTAGCAGAATACAGTTTGGCCTAAATTTATGAAGAAAAATTATCTATTTGCAAAATTTTATAACAAAAACTAAGCAAAAAATGTTTTTTTACAAAATTTGCGGTGTTTTTTCATTTATATCGCAAAAAATAAAAAAACACAGTAGTGATCAAATACCACCAAAAGAAAGCTCTATCTGTCTCAAAAAAGGATACAAATTTAATATGGGTACAGTGTTGCATGACTGAGTAATTGTCATTCAAATTGTGATAGTGCTGCTGAAAACTGAAAATTGGCCTGGACTGGAAGGAGCTGAAAGTGTCCAGACTTGAAGTGGTTAACCACTCTGGCAAGGGTGCTTACAATGATCAGCTTTTATTCATTTATGTAAAAACCCTTACCCCAAAAGGAAAAAAAAATGTTTGCTGTAACTGATTATAAAGTGTGAGTTGGAGTTTGGCTTCAATTTGTGTATCTAAATCTGCTGGTACATCAAACTCTCCCCCTCCCCCCCAAACTGACAATCTGCCTCCTGTGCTCCTTCCTCCAGAGTGGAGTCACTCTAATACAGGAGCTGTGTTACTGGCCCGATCACCAGGTAAAACAGAGGGGATAAAAGCCTAAAAAAGAAAACTAATGCAGCTGCCACATCTAATGACTGGCAAGCTGCAAAATCTAAAATTTTTGGTTTTGGGTTTAATACTGCTTTAAAGGATTGTTTAAAAGGCTAGTCCAACCAAAATGTCTGTTTTATCTAGATTCCAGAAATCTGAATCACTCATTGGCCTTTTCTTGGGTCTGCCTGCACGCAGCAGCTGTTCCGGAGTCCCACCCCCACAACTATTACTTTTAATTACGGAATAGGCGAGAGAACATTGAGACTTGATGTTTTTCTTAGAATGTTCGGAGCGGCTCATCCTCTGTGCATCCCCCTGTCCTAGTTATACATTGATGAGCTGTTTGCCATTTTCTGTCTTTGTTGTGTTTGGTGTCTTGGCTGTCCTGGGTCTCGGTAACTTGGCACACCGTAAGCAGCATGTGGCTTTCACAAAGTTGGCGAACACATCCAACTGAAGCCTCTCTTTTTATTGGAATGTGAGAAGCAGGTTTTAATTAGGTCCTGTGTTCTGACAGGGAAAGCTGAGCGCTTCAACAATTTCTTGTTTAGGGAAGCTAAATATTATGAACCCACGCAGGACAGAAACAGATATGCAGTCAGATCCTCCAATTCCATACTCTTAGGCCTCTTTTACATTAACAGGTGGGGGGGGGGCGGTAAAACCAGCTACTCCCCTTTAGCTGCAAAGGCAGTGGAGGGAATTGCGCCATGATAATTAATAGTTATTCCTGCTGTACCGTTAAACGGGACAGTACTGTCCGCTGAAACACAAGAGAATGGGGGCACCCCACAACCACCCTGCAGCCAGCTAGTGCAGCGTTCAAGGGGTTTAAGCAGGCAGTGAGAAGGCTATACAATGCCCCCTCACTGACTTTCAAATGCTCTCTGAAGAGAGATCTGGATGCAGACAGAACTTCAGAGAGTACCAAGGGGTGGTGCAGTAAAAGCAGGTGGCTGAGCTTTGGTTTTACCCCCTTTACCACCCACCCAATACAGTCAGGAAGGGCTGTGCATATGAAACGGCTGCAATGATTTGCTTCACAGCATTTTTAACTCAGGCTGCATAGTATAACAGGCACACCAAAACTGCAAAGCAAATGCTTGGCTCACAGTTGCGGCACAGCCTGCAAAGTAAAATGGCCATTCAATAAATAAAAAATAGAAGTAAAAAAAAAGACAAAAACAGCCATTTAGAAGGCGCCAGTAGTGCCTCCTGAAAACCTGTCAGCTGCTGCTATACAGGCTTCTGAAAAGCAATCCACCACAGATCACTGATGCTTTGGACAATGTTCTGCTGTGGAACCTCGGATCCTGCTATTCATGTGGATGTTACCTTGACACATACTGTACCACCTACCTAAACATTGTTGTTGACCAAGTACACCATATTCCCTGATGCAAGTGGTCCTCTTTCAGCACAGGTAATGAACCCTGCTACATTGCAAAAATGGTTTAAGAATGGTTTGAGGAACACAACAATGAGTTTGAAGTGTTGACTTGGCCTTCATATTCTCCACTGAACATCTGTGCTGAAAAAACAAGTCTGATCGATGGAGGCCCCACCTCTTAACTTATAGGACTTAAAATGGTTCTAAAGGCTCAAGGTTTTTTACCTTTGTGCAATGTATGCATGAAGCCCCCCCTAACACTTACCTGAGCTCCCTGCCAATCCAGCAATGTCCACAAAAGCCTTGGTTCTCTGGGGACTCTCACTCCTGATTGGCTGAGATAGTCAATCACAGCCAGTGAGCCAATCAGGAGAGGGAAGGGGCAGGGCCAAGCTGCTACTCTGTGTGTGAATGGACACACAGAGCCACGACTCGGGAGCACGCCGCTTGCTATGGGGGGGCACACCCGACAGTAGGTAGGGGCTAGGAGTGATTGTGGGGGGGCCAAGAAGAAGAGGAGGATGTGGGCTGCTCTGTGCAAATCCACTGCACACAGCTGGTAAATATGACATGTTTGTAATTTAAAAAAAAAAGACTTTAGTATCACCTTAAAGGATAAGTTCACCTTTTAGACAAAAATAAGAAATGCACATGTTTTTGCAGGTAAAAAAAATGTCCATTTATTATTGTTGTCTACAGAAGCCTATAAAGCATTGCACCAGTGATCAGTAGATCGCTGATGCCATGCAGGTCTCCTGCAGATCTGTCAGAATATCTGCTTGCCGTATGGGATGTACGGGATGTACGGCCAAGCAGATGTACTGACAGGAAGCTTCAATGAACCATCACGGCGCTCCACAGCACCACGGTAGTCAATTGAAAACTACAAGCCGACAGTTGCTAAGGCTGCCGGGACTTGCAGTTCATTCATTCACAGAAGTCCGTGAATGAATGACACAGTCGTGTGAGTGGAGCCCCGCACAACTACGCTGTTTTCAAGTTTGACAGATAGTACGGGGAGACTTCAACCTGTAGTATCTGTCAAGAGGGGGGGGGGCAAGCGGGCAGCAGCTGCGGCTATGGGAACATGTTACATGTTCCACCCCTAAAAATGGGTGGAACATGTAACATGTTCCCAGAGGTGAACTTATCCTTTAAAGGATCTGTGCCAAATACCACAGCATACCTTCAGAGTTCTGGTGGCATCCATGCCTTGATGGGTCAGGGCTGTTTTGGTAGCAGATTGGAGACCTGCCCAATTTTAGGTGGGTGATCAAAAAGATATGTCTAATCGGTGTATGTTCCCCCTCAATTCAGAGATTTCCCCCACAGTACATTTTTTCTACCACTAGATGCCCTCAGTCTGATGGCCAGCATCACTCAACCCACTTCCTCTAAGCCCAGGTCATCCTGGACCTTCCAGAGCTTGTGACTGGACAGTGAAAGGAGAAGGAGCACACTGATTAGCTTATCTCTCTGTCACACAGCATTCTCCTCCTATCAGCATTCTTAATGTCAGCATATGAATTGATTGGCTGTTTGTACTGCTTCTTCTTCTCACATTCCAGCTGTGCTATACAGGGTTTGCATAGTGATAATACCAGGTCAAATTGAGGTAGTTGCATTAAAAAAAAAATGTATTATCACAGATCTGCATTCATTTGTGGCTGTTACATCCACCTAGAATTCAGCTTTGAGCTGCATGAGCAAAGCGTAGGTTCCTTTTAAGTGGGTGGGTTGTGGAGTAGAGAACAGTGGATGAATAACAGAACCTTGCTGGGTGGCCCAGCTGTGCAGTATCCTAGTAAAAACATGACCAAATGTTACATTTTTATTTAATTTTATAGCACATTGATGGTTTAAACTAAACCATTTTACATAGAAAAGAAATCCAGACTACATAGTAACTCTAAGCAAAAAATACATTTTGCAGTAGCAAGCTAAATATATACAACTGCACTGGGCAATGATCGCATATCTGTGAGTGGCGCTTGGCTGGGGAGCTGTTATCTTACAGCTGTGCTGTACACTGAAATATAGAATTATATATTTATAGAAATATAGATGTAGATATAATCACAGCATGGGAAGTAACGTGAAGAAGGAAACAGACTATAATTACATAAAAGCCAGTAGTAGCATCATTGCATCAAACACAGAATAATAGCTAGAGTGTAATAGTAGGGTGAAAACTTGCTGGGATGATCATTACATAGCTACTTACTTTCCTAGCAATGGCACCAAAAATCAAAGACAGAGCCTTGCAAACTTAGGGACTGATTTACTGATAGGGCAAGGAATTTATTTTGTAAGGAATACCCAATCACATGCAAGAACAAAAAATGATTGGATAATGGCAGCCACCTCTTTGGTAAATCAACCCCTTGGTATCTGCGCCCATCCATTCACATTATAACAATTTTCATCACAAGTTAGTGGCATGCTACATCCAGAGTGATGCATTTTTAGGAGGAGAAATCTGTTGGCCTTGTAGCTGTGACATTCACAGAGCTTTTAGCAAGTCATCATGAAATCTTCTTGATGGATAGCTGAGAGATCCCCTCACGTCACAGATGGAAGAACATACCCAAACGCTGTATAGTGTTTGCCCCCTGAAATTAAAAAATGAGAGAAAGCACAAGTGTCATAACCCAGCAGACTCTGTTGTCTGGCGATGTCTCTTCTTGCTGAGCCACCTGGAATGCTGGACAGCTCCTTGGACAATTCCTTAAATGATCCCTTCTGAACCCCATTTGTCTTGAACCTTGAACCCTTTGCTCCTCCCATGATCTGCCTATTAAAGCCATGCTTTTGCACTTCCTGTCTGCCAAATTTTTGCGATCTCTCCAGCCAATATCTCACTCTTGTCTCTCCTGCAGCTGTGCATGTCTTCGCTACCACTCGT